AGCGGAGACTGCCAAGGACTAGCTGGGAAGGGCGGATTCTCCTACCTTTAAATGCAATTGGAAGTTTTGTTTCAAAGTCCAGTCTAGGAGAGGGAAAGAGGGAAGAGAGATAAATAAATGTTTGGTGTTCCGCTTCGTTCTGCCTGGGTCAAAGCCTGTCGTGGCTGCCGTGGCTGCTTGGGCACTGCACGGCCAAGTGATAGACGGATGGATAAATGATAGATAGATAGATAGATAGATAGATAGATAGATAGATAGATAGATAGATAGATAGATAGATAGATATACAGAGACAGACAGGTAGATACAGTGGATGGATGGATGGATGGATGGATGGATGGATGGATGGATGGAGACAGATAGATGATGGATGGATAATAGACAGATTAATAGATGATAGATAGATAGACAGACAGACAGACAGACAGACAGACAGACAGACAGACAGACAGACAGACAGATAGATAGATGATGGATGGATGGATAAATGGAGACATAGATGATGGGTGGATGATAGATAGACAGACAAATAGATGATAGACAGACAGACAGACAGACAGACAGACAGACAGACAGACAGAGACAGACAGACAGACAGACAGACAGAGACAGACAGACAGACAGACAGACAGATAGACAGATAGACAGACAGATAGATGATGGTTGGATGATAGACAGACAGATAAATAGATGATAGATGAATAGATGATATAGATAGATAGACAGACAGACAGACAGACAGACAGACAGACAGACAGACAGATAATAGATGATAGATGAATAGATTAGATAGATAGATAGATAGATAGATAGATAGATGGATGGATGGATGGATGGATGGATGGATGGATGGATGGATGGATGGATGGATGGATGGATGGACGGACGGACGGACGGACGGACGGACGGACGGACGGACAGGTAGGTAGGTAGGTAGGTAGGTAGATAGATGATGGATGGATGGATGGATGGATGGGTAGGTAGGTAGGTAGGTAGGTAGATAGATGATGGATGGATGGATGATAGACAGACAGACAGATAGATAACCTTTATTGTCATTTTTTCCTGTGGGCACAACGGCACACATTAAAAATGAAATTGAGTTGCTTGCTCTCAAAGTGTACACATGTGTAGCACACATTTAAACATACTCTATACAACCTATGTATAGACCTTACACCCTTACATATAAGTAACAGATCAATATGAATCACTGCCCATCTTGAATGCATAACGCAAGGAGGAAGCTTGAGAATTCACAAGGTTAATGCCGGGTGGGACAAAACGGGGACTGAATCTGGACGTTCTGCTTCGGATCCCACGGAGCCTCCTCCAATATTTTGTTTGAGGGTGCGATTAAGTCAGAGGATAAAATTCCTTTCTCTTCCAGCCATGCCCACAAGCCATTGAAGACTTCTTCAAAACCAAGTTGAATGTGATTGCAGCCGTTGGCATTGGCGTTGCGGTGGTGATGGTAAGTTACGGCTGTTGCATACTGTTCAGATCCTGGCTTAATGACAAATATGGGGTTTGTTTTATAAAATCTATGTAAAGTGACCAACTGGATGCCTCCAAGCATCCCCTGACGATGGGAAACATGCCTTCCGCGTAAGGTTCATGGAAGAACACCGGGCCCTATCGAACAAAATGAAATTCAGCGTAGGTAGGAGGAAGGTTTTACACTTAGGCAGGAAAAGCCAACTGTCTGGGTAACAGACTAGGTGAAACTTGCCTTCATGCCAGCAGTTGGGAGAGGGGGCTCGAAGTCCTAGTGGACAATCCCTTAAATAGGAGCCAGCCATGTGTGGCAGCAGCAGAGAGAGAGGGGGGGGAGGGAGGGAGGGAGGGAGGGAGGGAGAAGGAAGGAAGGAAGGAAAGAGATGAAACAGGGAGGGGAGGGGAAGGAAAAAGGAGGAAGGGAGGAAGGAAGGAA